GGGGGCATTAACACGTTCTTATGCTCAGTTGAATTGTAAATTGGCGGATTTATCAATGTCATGCTCATACTGTGCCGGAACAACATAGGGGGAACTGTTGCTTTTTTCCCCCTAATCCTTACTATCGTCATTTTTCTATGTTTGTCACTCTCTTGTGATCTGCTATTTCCGGGATGCCTTGATAGTCGAAGCAGACTTTGTGCTGTTGACGCTAGAGAGGTGAGCAGAGTAAGGCTGGAACCCCGTTTGGACTTCTCTGTTGATATCCACCCCTTGGCGCAGAGTAGTGAGCCCCGTAAAACTTTACTATAGAAACACATTCATTAAAAAAGAACAACGTGGGTGGTTAGTGGGTGCTCTGGTGTGTTTGGCTCCTTCTCTCCTATCAAACATTCTTTCCTATCAAACATCTATCGTCCTTATCTCCCCTTCTTCTTTTCAATGTTTGTTACTCTCTTGTAATATCTCTAATCTTCGGCACTTATATGACCTTATTGTGTTGCAAGTGCCGTAAAACTCTTACTAAAACTAAAAAAAGAACAACTCTCCAGTCATGACAGGTGAGATATGTAAATGTTTTTCTGTGTGTGCCTCCCCAGGAGATGTTGTCGGACCTGCTGGCTCTGTACGCCGAGGCGCTGGCTCCGTGCAGCCAGGAGGCATACCGAGCTCTGAGCTCCATGTCACTCTTCAGTCTCATCGGGGCTGACAAGATGCTGGACGCTCTATTTGGCGAGGGCAGCTCCTCCGCCATGGCGTGCCAGAACGTGCCGGCTCCCGAGGGAGAGGACTGTGAGCGAATCTCCATGGCGCGGACTCTGTCGTGCCTGAGCGTGGACATGAAGCACTGCTCCATCGGCGACCTCTACTCCCTTGCCAACGCCGACAGCAACGATCTGACCCGCAGGTTTAATCTCGACAAATCGGCCGATGGGATTTCTTCGTCCTCGAGTTCGTCCGAGTCCGGGGTGGGTTCGCGTGTCTCAGACCCGAGGGACGATGAAACGATTGCCGGGTTTTCTGATTCCCTGGAGAAGTCTTCCAACTTGAGCAAACGGCTCTCGGCATCCTGTTCTAACATCAGGCTGGACGTGGAAGCCGGGGACGCAGAATACTCCGCTTCTCCGCCCCGTCGAGAATCACACAGCTCTGAGAACCTCGCCGCTGGGGTCCGGTCGCCGGAGGTCGTGGAGTCACCAGAACGGACCTCCCAACGGGACAAAGGCGTGCAGTTCCTCGACACCTTCCTCGGACTGTTCCGGAAGCAGATCAAGAAATGCCTGGACTCAAACGGCTTCCTGGACAAAGTACGGTACATCACGCGTGCAGTGGAGGAGATGAATTGGCACATGTCGCAAGTGTACGGGCCGGACCATCAGTCGGTGTGCGATGACATCATCACTATGTTGGTCCTGGCACTGAGCAACATGCCGGAGGATCTGTTCATCGGCCTCTTCGTGAACTTGCGTCTGCTGGTGGATGTGCTGCCCCCGTTCCTCAACGGCACGCTGTGGGACTACAACCTCGTCTGTCTCTACGCCTCCTACGACTTCCTGTTCAGCAAGAAGGTTTGCGAGAGCGTGGACAGGAAGTACCCTGGCAGCATCAAGGTCAAGCTGTCCGTCTAGCCAGCTGTGTGAGTTGGGGCCGTACAAGAGTATCGAGCTTGCTGGCAGCTAGCTGGAAGTTCAGCGAAACGCGCCCGGTGGTCCAGAGGGTGCAATCATGTACATAAATTGTGTGCCGCATTTCCTGTGAAAAAACATTCCTTTCTACTTTTATGACGACCCATGCCAGTTCTTTCAGAGGCTGCTATGGATGAAAAACTTACATGATTCGTTGTGGCCAGTTAAGTACTAAGTGTGATGTTTCAAGGCTTTCTCTTCCCCACATTTTGTCCCTTCTGTCTCTCTCTGTCTCTCTTTGTCTCTCTCTGTCTCTCTCTCTCTCTCTCTCTCTCACTCATCATATTTCCTCCAGCCATCTGTGTCCTCCTCAGTTCACCCCCCCCCCACCTCATGCAAGCTATTTTGATTTTATTTAACCCCCCACCCCCATACTCCCAACCATCTACTTCTACCCACATCAGGCTAAGGCCAAGGCCTATCAAACCCCCACCCCCACCCTCTACCCCTTTGCCTTGAACTGTTCAGCCTGTCTGGGCAAGATGCAGGATAAAGAAATATATTTCTACTGGAGTTCTATGCTTAGAAAAATCCCCCAGAAAACCTTCTTGCCGTGAGCTGCTCCTGTGTTATGATGATATATACATCTCTATTGACTATTTACGACGAGACTTCTCATCGTGTGCTTGCCGTGAGCTGCTCCTGTGTTATGATGATATCTCTATTGACTATTTACGACGTGACTTCTCATCGTGTGCTTGCTGTGTTCTGTTTCTGTTTGTGAAAGCCCAGCTGTTTGTAGAATGTTCTCAGCAAGCTCTTCAAATGTTCTATGCTCAGAGAGCAACATTTTACAGGAGAGAGAAAAATCTCTTCCTTTTTTTTTTCTAAAATGTTGAACTCATGTTATGTAGATCTATCTATTTTTGCTTTTTGCAACATTTAGAATTTGAATTTTGAAAAACGTTATTTCTTGAGTACTTCTGATACCATAGTTTAAGATCTAAGAAACTGCAGTTTGAAAAAAAAAATCACAATCTTGGGCTTAGTGCACCTGAACGGATGGCCAATGATATCTCATTGAAAACTTTCTGTGGAAGTGGTTCGTCTGTCTGCTTTGTGGCCAATGTTATGTCTCATTGAAAACGTTCTGTGGAAGTGGTTCGTCTGTCTGCTTTGTGGCCAATGTTATATCTCATTGAAAACTTTCTGTGGACGTGGTTTGTTTGTATAATTCTTTGTGGCCAAATGCTGCCTGTGTTTGATCCATTGCTCAAGTCCCGTGCCAAGTAGAGGAATGTCAATTAGCATCTGTTGATCAAAAGCTTTGTTGACTGTTGTTTTTGTACGAAAGGCTCATCATGCAAGACTTGACAAGTACTCTGATGGAATTGGAGACCTCTGGTTATATTTTTGCCCGATCTAGAACCCCAATTGGATTTGTATTAAGTCCGATTTTATTATTTTTTTCTTAGATTCCGTATCCATCGATGGTACACAACTAGGTAAATGATGGGAAAATACGTATTTGTATTTTCGTGTACGGTATTTGCAATGCACATTTATTTGCATGGTTTATGTAAATGATGGGAAAATTAAATACACATTTGTGTTTTCGTGTACGGTATTCGAAATGCACATTTATTTGCATTGTTATGTAAATGATGGCAAAATAACCGTTTGTATATTCGTGTATTTGCAATACACAGATGTATTTGCCATGGTTAATCTACTGGGGTTCTGGAGACTGCTGATATTTTCCACCACAAACTCCGACGACTTTTAGGGAGGATTGTGAGGAGAACTCCTGTATTTGGTGATGGAGGGGTTGGCAGGTCTGCCTCTCTGTTGGGACGTGTTCATCTGTGATGCGTGGGGGTTTGAGGCTTTGCCGTTTGCATGGAGAAGACCTGAATTTGAATTGTGTATGCGGAGGATTTTTATCGAGCAGCTCAAGTCTTTCGGCTGGGATTGTCCCTGAAAGGCAGAGTCCAAGCCCACCACCTAAAACTACTAAAAGATCTAAATTGTGTTGATGGGGGTGTAAAAACAGCTACATTAAAAAGACCTATATTCTGAGCTGCCGAGGTCGGCCCTGACAGGCAAAGTGTAAACGGCTTATCCTTTCACTTTGTGAGTGACCTAGATTGTGGTGAAAGAGGTGCAAAATGTTTGCAAGAAGAAGTTACCAAAGCATCAGGTGTTATGGTATAATTTGTCAACGTGCTGGTGGTGTGGCTGAGACAGGATGATGGCGTGGGTTGTATGTGTGGGAGAAATTTGCTTTGTTTGCTCTGTCGTATACACATGCATGAATTTGATTCCACGTTTGGATTTCTCTGTTGACATCCACCCCTTGGCAGAACTTAAGAGCGCCGTAAAACCTCACTAAAACAAACACTTACATGATTTAGATCGTCGCTTTGCTGAAATTTGTGACGTGTTGTTTTTTATCTGTTGTGCACTCATACTTGACATGCTTGGTTTTGTGTGTGTCATTTTGTGACATCATCTCTTGTCTAGTTTACCATGAGTTGTCTTGTTTTCCAGGAACTGTTGTGATAAGATAAGGTAGGATAAGATAAAGTCTGAAGATAAAATAAGATAAGATAAGATAAGTGTTATTGATCCAGGAGGGAAGTTTTAGAAGTTTTATTTTGGGCGGATATACCAGAACAGTATCAACGTACAAAGATTCAGCATCTACACCGAAATACACTGATTATATTCATGTTCAAAGATCTTGTTGTTTCTAGAAGATCTTGATATATGTAATATATGCTTCTTGGAGAGTGTGCAATGTCATTTATATATTTATAGATTTGTATTAACGAATGGTCATCGCTGCTAGAAAGACGTGAAGGCAACAGTCTGCAGTTGAGCACTGCTGAGCGTTGTGTCCCTCTGTCTTCTCTTCCACGAAGGGACTTTGACCTTCAGGTATTGCAGAATCCTTCCGTTGTTGTCGTCAATTCTTCTCTGGTGTTTGAAGGGCAGCCTGTTTATTACAACCGCAGCAAGCCACCTGCGTGCCTAGTTATATCTACATCAACGCAAAAACACCTTGTACGAAGTTTAAAAAGTTGCGTTTCAGTTTTAGCTGTACATTTTTATAATGATGTATGAATTGTTTCAGAGTCTTTTTTTCTCTGAAGCGGAGGGGAAAGGAAGAATCTTGATCTCACAAAGTTTGTGTGAAAATTATCACTTGTGACACGTTTTATAGGTACGTGTGTGTGCGTGTGTGCATGCTTGAGTACGTTCGTGTATGCTTGTGTAAAGTATGCATACTTGCTCAAGGGGTACATCGAATTTTTCAATCTGCTTTTTATTAAGAAACATCTTTCTAAACATGTGTTTCCCTGTTTTAGAAAGATTTGGCAATTTATTAAATAAGAAGTGAAACATTTTCTGTCATTCATATGATTGTTAGAGATGTTTTCACGACGAACGCATAAAATCTGACCAGGATTTTTCCCCTGTCAAAAGTATTTGCAAGACTTGTAATCTCTTATTCTCTTCCTGGCAGATAGGTTCTGTTATTGTTTACACCTGTTTGTTTTGTTTGAAATAGTCAGCTGATTCTGTATGTAGAACGAGAAGACTTTATTATTTTTCTGTTACCATGATTTATAGTACTCCTATTCTGATAGATATATATGAAAATGTTGGTTGCTGAATATCCAAATCATGATGTGCATAAATTGAAGTTTATTTACACTTGAAATAGACCACACATTTGAGAGAAGTTGACCTGCATGTATTCCACATCACAGATCACTTAACATATGCACATTTAAAAGAGATCACATGTTTGAGAAAATTGAAGTTATTTATATTTGAAATAGACCACGCATTTGAGGAAAATTGATGTAAATTTGTAACACATCCCAGATCACCTATTACTATTATTTACATTTGAAAGAGATCACTTGTTTAAAAGAAAGTTGAAGTTATAAAATAACCTACTTTTGAAATATACTTTTAATCCACATTTGAAACAGACAGCAGGTTTGAGAAAAGTTGACACACACACACGTGTAAGAGACCTCAGATCTCTGTACGTATAGACTGAAGTAATGTCACATGTTTGGACGAGGACTGCGGTTACGAGCGCCGTAGAACCTTACTAAAACAACAACGAGAGGGCATGAGATCTTCTACATTTAAAAAAAATCTTTGAGAATCTTGCTCGTAGCGTCGGCAAATTGCGTGTGCACTGTGTCGAGCCTGACATACCGTTCGCCTTGTGACAAGAGCGGCGATCCCTCGTACTCGTATAGTCAATTGTACAGTGGAAGCCACAAAATAGTTTGTGAGGCAGCGTGGTGAAATCAGGCTCTCGTCGAAATAATGAAGAAGAAACTGGCATTTTTCTGCAGGTTTGGGAATTTTCTTATAATTTTTATTTTTTGACTCAACACCTTCCAATTCATGCCCATTTAGAACACATTTCTGAGAGGATTTTTACTGAAATACGTTGATTAAAGGCATAAAAGATGTAATCTTTAAGCTTCCACACACTCTAAAGCTAAAGAAATAACTAAACTTTGATGGCCATTTTCTCTGTAATTTTACCTCTGAAACCAGGTGACCCCCGCCTCCTTCAATCGCCAATATCTCGACTTGTATCTTAAATAAATGGATATTTTTTTCTTCAAAAGCAAGGTAACTGGACAGGCTTTAAGATGATACCTCCATATGCCCAAAAATTGTAAATGTGGGTGGTTGGAGGGCGCTGCTGGTAGGTCCTACTTCTTTACTTTTCCTCTGTTGTTTCTGTCTGTCTTTCTGACTTTTGTCCAGCACTAAATGACCATCATTGTGTTGATGTGCATCTCTTTACTCAAACAAAACAAAACAAACAAGCCCAAAAATTGGCGAGCGCCTGATTCCCCCACGTGGTGACACATTTGTCCCATGTTGTCAAAGGAAAACTTGCACTTTCTCAACTTTCTGTCTTTTTTTTGTGCAGACATTTTAATGTTAACACAGCCCTGGTTTTTTTTAATGTCAGAAAACAAAAAGGTTGAGAGGCAAATAAAATATAAGTAGATAGATCAATAAATAATAAATGAAACAATAAATAGCCTCTGTATAGGACAATTACCCACTCAATAGCAAGCTCTATGCACTTTATACTTTATAATCTATATTTTTATGATATTGTTATATAAATTATTTTGCGTGGATTTAGTTTTGTTGTTCTCCCTGTTCACCTTTTGGGCTCATGATGTCAAAACAAACCAAACAAGAAATAATCTTAAAGTGTTTTTTTACAACTTTTACGGTGTAAAGTGTTCGCACTTTGATTGTTCAGTCGTTTTTACATAGACTATTACTAAAGTAACGCATTTGCCATATTTTTTACTTACTTTTATATGTCTTTTTCATCATCTGTTGCTGTTGAACGTTGATAAGAGATGCGTTTTCTTTGATAGGTCAGCTCTGCAGCTCTTTTTTCAACTGAGATGTAGTCTGTCAAGGGTTCACTTTACTCCCTCAGTCCATCTTTTGCGTGGTCTTCCTCTTCTTTTATAGCCTGAGTGCTTGGTGTTGTAGGCTCTCCAGGCTGGCTGGCCAGGTGACAATCGTTACCGGTGGCCAAACCATTTTAGTTTTTGTTTTGTTTTGTTTTTCTATGAAATGCAGACCGGACTGTGTGCCAACAGCTGTTTTTTACCTCTACATTTAATTTCTCTGTGCTGTCTCTTCTTGTGATATTCAGGGATTTGTGGAGGCATTTATTGTTCATTTAATGTGTCATTGTATAAGGTTTATAAAGGACAGTTTAGCATTTACATGTGGGTCTGTGTTTTTGTACAATTCCTTGTTGCCATGTGGGTGGTTGGCGGGTGCTCTGGTGTGGTTTGCTTCTTCTTTCCTGTCAAACATCTATCGTCCTTGTCTCCCCCTTCTTCTTTTTTATGTTTGTTATACTCTCTTGTGTAACACCTCTAATCTTCTGGCGCTCATATGACCGTATGCAGTTGCGAGCGCCGTAAAACCTCTTCTAAAACTATAAGTAATTGCATAGTTGCCATTTTTACGACATGTTTAGAGCCAGTGTCTTTTAAAAGCCTTGGGTCTCAATGCAAGTTGTTGCATCTTGTGATGTTGAGTTATACTGTTCTCTTGTTGTGTAATATAGATAGTAATATGATATATATATATATGATTATATTATTAGCAAGACTTATGAGTTCACATGTACTGTGCTTGTGTTTAATATATTTATATATATATTTATATATTAACAAGATTTTTGAGTTCACTTGCACTGACAGTTATCTCTATAATGCCTCCACTTGCTGGAGGTCTCTGTGGAAGAGAACGAAACGTGTTCCTTGCACGTCTTTGGGTCGACCGTCTTTGAAGTGTTCCTTAACCCCGCGGGGCAGTGCCACTGACTGAAGTGTCTTTAGGCCATTCCCAAAGGGGGGACATTTCTCGTCCATGCACAGTAGAATTGTAAATGGGCTGATTCATCACTGTCACGCTCATAACTGTGCCTGATCTACAACAGGGAACTGCTGCTTTTTCTTTCCTAATCCTTACTATTGTCATTTTTCCTCTACTTCTTTTGTATGTTTGTCACACTCTTGTGACCCGCTATTTCCGGGGTGCCTTGATAGTTGAAGCAGACTTTGTGCTGTTGAAGCTAGAGAAGTGAGCAGAATAAGCCTGATTCCCTGTAAACACTCCTCTGTTGACATCCACCCCATGGTGCTCCTATGACCTTATGCAGTTGCGAGTGCTGTAAAACCTGTATATATATATAAATAGAAGTGTTCCTTCCACATCCTTGGGTCGACCGTCTTTGAGAATGTTCTGACTGTTCCGCAGCGTGCACAACTGGCCAGTGTTTTTCTGGCCTTGAACTTTGATTTTTTGTTGATGTCGTTTTTAATGTATTGCCATTTGGTATTTTGATATATATATATATATATATATATATATATATATATATATGAGTGTTTATGAAGGTTCATGTGCTTTTGTATGTTTTTTGTGCGTGTAAATGGACAAAGTCAATTCTGCTCAATGGAACATTTGTTTTTCTTATTAGAAAGAAGGAGACCAGAACAAGAAGGATGAGCCAAATACAAGTGGAGCGATCGTGAAGAAAGTTACAAACTAAACCTGTCTGGTGGGTAGTTGGCGGGTGCTGTGGTGTGGTGTGTTCCTTCCTTCCTATCAAACATCTTTCGTCCTTATCTCTACTCTTTCTTTTTTGTGTACGTTACTCTCTTGGAACGCATCTATTCTTTGGCACTTAATTGACCTTATTGTGTTGTAAGGCCCGTAAAACTCTTACTAAAACTAAAACTTAAAAAACTTGACTATAGTTTTGCAGTTTTATTTTTTTTCAAACCAAGGTTTTGTTGTTTTCCCTTGAGGGTTTGACTTGCTGCATAAGTTTCAGATTGGGTGTCATTTTCTTGTGATGTCAGACATATGTTCCTGTTCACGCATCACTGTATTCCACATTTATTGTGACCATTTTTCGAGCTTTCATTGAAATTTATTATAAACTAATACAATGTACATTTTGCACATTTATCTTTGAGGTTCCAAGATGTTGCTGTGTGTATTTTGCCTGCATGC